ATCTTCCAAAAGCCGTCTCAAAAAATGCATATTTTGAATGCATTTTTGGCTGCAGCTCTGTAATTTCCAATTTGTATAAGATAAAAAGTAGGGACATTTTTTCCAAAAAATTTTTGGAAGCCAATGCAAAAAACTGCATTCTGATCCGTCTTAGTCTAAAAAATGGCCTTTTTAGTGCTTCATTGCTTCGACTATTATTACTGAGAAAAATGTACTCAATGTATTATTAGCAGTTACGGATAATCCAAATAAAAGTATACAAGTAATTTCAAGGGAACAAGAAATAAGCTTTGGAAGTGTGCAAAAAATACTATCAAACAATAAGATGCACCTATATCACATTCAGTTACACCAGGAATTATTGGATGATGATTTTCGGCGAAGAACAAACTTTTGTAATTAATTGGGCACAAAGAAAAATTCATGATTAATGAAATATTTTTTGATGATGTACCTTTCGGAGATGAGTCGACATTCCATAAAAATGGTTTATTAAATCGACATAATTTTCACTATTATGCCAGAGAAAATCCTTATGCGATAGTTACTAATTCTTAAACAATATAGTATTTAATTGTTTGGGGTGGTATTGTTGGTGATTATGTAATTGGACCATATTTTTTTGAGAAAACAGTTAACAGTGAAGTTTATTTAGACTTTTAGGAGAATCAGTTGCCTATACTTTTTGAAAATGTACTTCTTCGTATACGTCAGCAAATGTGGTATCTACATGATGGGGCTCCAATACATCATAATGCAGTAATTAATTTATGGTCAACTTGATGATCAATTTTCAGAACGATGAATAGGTAGGGGGGGACCATTTGAGTGGGCAGCTAGATCGCCAGATCTAACAAAAGTGAATTTTTTCTGTGGGAGTGTGTGAAAAATGAAGTGTATAAAATACATGTAACTACAAGAGAAGACATGAAAAATAGAATTAGGGTTGTTTTCCAATACATTAGTATTCCAATGGCTAGAAATCTGGGGAGGTCATTTGAATATCGGTTACAACTCTGTTTAAATCTAATAGTAGGTCATTTTGAGCAGTTATTGTAATTATTTTGTTCTAAGTTCTATTTCGAGTTTTTTTGTTTAGCTGTTAGTATTAATAATAGTAGATTTATTTTATATTTTTAGATTATTTATAATTAACGTGTTTTTCAAGCTGTCAATTGCCAACTCTACGAAATTTTTAGTATTTATTAAAAATATCGTTTTATTATTAAAAATCGAAAAACTCTACGACTGTAACATTTAGGTATAGGGAATGATAAACAGTAAAAGTATTTTGTAAGTAGTTTATGAAAATGATATAAGATACGGGATGTTCCATTTAAAATAACCGAGAAGATCATGGTCGTGAGTTTTGGGTTACCCTGTATACAAAATGAAAGATATCAAAAACATGATAAATTGCAACAAAACTAGGCTACTTTGAAATTATTCTGTCCTTGAGATATTAACCCTCAATTGTTGATTCTAAATAATACAGGGTGACGATTTCATTAATATTTTCACATAAAAGTGGCATTTTTTTTAAAGTACCCTGTAGAACCTGATAAAACCTTATATTTCCGGAATGGGGAAAATGAGCAAAATTCAAATTCGAGATAACGCATAGGGCGTTCCACTAAAAAACATGCTTTGGTATGCTGTGACTTTATGAAACACCCTGTATATATAATTTTAAAATGTGGAGTTGGACTCTATCTATAATAGGTATTCAAAACTTTTGTTCGTACCCCTCAAAACAACGGAGATATCAAACTCCTAAGTATAAGTTGATCACCCGTATGTACTTATAGGATTGGTTACCCAGAGAATGTAGATATGTGGGATGTGACTTGTTAAGTGCCTGTTATAATCACAATTAATGTTTAATACTTATTGCCGTTTTTGAGACATACTTTATTACCAACTGTAAACTAATTTACCAACAGCCTTATTTTTATTTAATACCTGCAGGGATCCAAATTACCAATTCACTTAATATTTTTGAAAATACTAAATTATACAAATAAGGCAATAACAAATGTCATTAGAATAAAAGATTTCAGGTTTGTAGGCACAAAATCTACGCTAGGGGGTAACATGATTGATAGTTACAGACAGATATAACTGTATATAAACTATTTAAATGTACATACCATTTCTTAGGTAATGCAATGCAAATTTTCTCATTATGAGTATAATAAATTCAAATGGTTGATCAATTTTTCCGATTAACATTGGTAAAGTGAAAAACCATTTGTCTCTTTATTTTATCTCCTATATCCAACGTTTATTTTACGTTTCCATATTTATTTATTAGAATAATCCAATTTTTCCTTTTAACCGGTTTTGTGGGAAACACAAAAAAATTAAGAAATGTTTTGATTACTTTACAGTTGGGTACAAAATACATGACCATTTTGAAGAGGTCTTAGAATGGCTTTAGACACTGAAACACAGTACATACATTACAGTCGTGAAACTAAATTACAGGGAAATAAAACAACATAACCTCAAAAATACTTTTATTTACTTTGGCAAACGTTTTTCGGGAACAATTGTTGAATTGACACACATACTTCCAATTCATTAAAGTTGTATTTTTTAAATGAGCACAATCAAATATTGTCTTATCGGGTTTCATATTAGATTGTTTCATAGAGGAAAGATAGTTTGTTTGATTTGGAACACTGCCAGAATGTTTCTGTTGTGTACCAGATTTGTCTATCAGATTCCTTAAATGTACCAGATTTTTCGAATTCTATTTGCAGTGACGTCTGGTTCATTGAAGAACAAAAAAGGTCTTTGTAGATAACAATAACAAACAAGGAGCACAATATATATTTTACGCAGCATGCTGTATGCTCAATCCAATTCGTATTTTAGTTCAAATTAAACTTAAATGCGGTATTATCATGATTTTCTATCATATTTAAAATGCTTCCGTTAAAATTAATAGTTTTTAACAAGCCTGTAATAATTGTGAACACAGAATACCGTATTTTAATAAAAAATAACAAGCTGCTAAATGTTAAATTTTTAAAGACCTAAAAATTTTAAAGAATGTCTTACAAAATAGACCGTATTTAGCTTAGAACAAAATTAGAATATTCATCAATAATATGGCATTCAAAAAAAATTCTTAAAATTCTTAAGTTAAAAACTAAATGGATTTTATTTTCCAAGAGGTTGTAACTACCTGGATTTACTACGCCAATTTGATTTTTTATTAGATACACACAGAAATCAAGCATTTGTTTTGTTTTTTAATTTTTTGTATTAAATATTTTCTACCTTCAAAACCGGTCGCCAATTAAAATTGACTTTGTGAGATATAGAGGACCTTTTTCTTTACATCTTTATTCAAGGTTAATTATTTTTGAGCTATTGATAATGATTTTTTTTAAATAGGACAATAGAATATACATTATTTAACCATCGTTAATTATGTTTTAAGACAACTATTATAGATTTATTAATTATTGCGCCACGGCAAATAATAATAATAGCCGTCCCTTCCCCTACACAAGTCGTTCAGTCGACTTCAGGGGTTGAAATTCACTCGTAAGGGGGTGAATTAGGGAGAGTGTTATTATTATTATTATATTATTATTATTAGACTTTATCTCGTTTTATTCGACATCGCCATCTTGCGAGTATGTACATACTGAGCTTGTATTTTAACTCAAGTCCTGAATGAGAAAGCATCGGTAAACATTAAAGCTTCCATCAATGCTTACTGGGAATTCTCAAAGCTCATTCGGCTAGAGAAGTTTTGGATGTCTGAATACATAAAATCAATATTTAGTTATGTGTTCCAATAGGTGGTAATTATTTACGCTGGATCTGAAACTGTTTTTGACAGTTAACCGAATTTCTATACCCTTCAACGAGAACGTTACACTCAAGTATTAATTGCGTTTCATCAATCAATAAATCTTGATTAGAATAAACAAAAATCTACACCAATCGAAGGGTTGATACTTTTCATCTAAAATAACAAGTAAAATTATACTACATTAGTATATAATAGCTCCAAACTTAACCTGCAGCTTAAAAAAGTAGCAGTAGTTTTTTCAAAAAGTATTACGTTCATTGGAGGCACTTAAAAAGTAAAATCATTTTAAAAGTTACAAATTAATAAGAAGCATACACACTAAATATGAGGTGAAGAGTGGAATAAGTAGGGGACACCGGGGCTGGTTGGCTCACTTTTCATATTTTAATTTTGTCAATTTGTTTATGACTTTTATTAATATCTATACAACTTAATATTGCCTGTAGTTTTGGCTACCGTTATACATAATCATGTTCGTTAGAATTTTAAATATAAATTTTTGGCAACCCGTTATGTACACACAATATTTAATGTCAACCAATCCCTGTTAAGGGGCTGGTTGATACAACCAGTGGGGTTGGTTGGCACAACCTTTCGGGTTGGTTGGTCCAACCTTTGGGATTAGTTGGGACATACTAAGACATGATATTATTTGTTAACAAAATATTATTTACCTAAAACTATAAAAAAAAAATGCTGAAGAAGGTAACACAAAAAAGTTATAACCTAAAAATCATCGTCTGAATCACAATTCTCACAGATATAGAGCGGTGTATATCTCTTAGTACAAGCTTCATGTGCAAAAACTGCCTACACATATCATGCAGCAGCAATCTTCTTTCTCTTCAGAAGTTTCGCTTTCATCTTTTTTTCTTTAAAAATATTTGCTTTTTAGCTTGTTGTATTTTTGTTAGATGTATTTGCTTGCTTCCTTATATCTTTTTTCTTTTCCCATTTTGCCATTCTTTCAGCAATTTTCATCTTTTTCCTTTTAATTGCCTCCTTTTATGCCGTTAACTGATCTTTTATCGGGGTATTAGTTAAAATGGCTATAGCTCTATTCTGTTTTCCTTTTCTGTTATCAACTGAGGATTTTGCTGCAGCTCTCGGCAAGGTTCTCATTTGTTCCGAGTTCAGATATTATGTTTGAACTTGAAGATGGTCCAGCTTATTTTAAGTCACGTTCAGATATAACAAATTCTATTTCTCTGTTATTTAATATAGATTCACTAATCAAACAAACATTTTTAGTAGGGAAATTTAAAATCTTAATAGAATTTCTGCTTATTTTTCCCAATGTATCCAATTTATCATTGTCTGCTGCTTTCACAGGATCACATGAAGTTAGCTGATTTATGAATTCCTTAGGTAACATCTCATACGGAAAACGACTGACATCTGCCCCAGTGTAAACAAAAAATGAAATTGTTTGTTTCTTATCTAGTAAACTGTCTACATACCATGGGTATTGTTTGTCAAGGTATGCCTGCCCAATAAAATTTTCACCTCCATCCTTCTTATTGGTTACCTGTGACACATTGTGCTGCTCCTGCTCCTCAGAACTGAATTCAGAATCGCTGTGATCCATTACACGTACTGACTTTTACTTCTGCAAATTACACTCCAGTGTCCGCGTTTTGAGTATGTGCGACAGATTGATGACTTGGCTGGATATTTTGCCCTGTCTTCACATCTTCTTAAACAGCAGTATACACACCTTTTGTACCATCCTGAGGCGATGCAAAGGGTTTCTCTTTCATTTGCTTATCTCTTTTAATTGCATTGCCTGATCTTGTCTAATAATTTTGTTTTGCGTACACTGCAACCAGCTACAACTCTGCCTGCCTTACCGCAGTAATTGCCTCTGACAAAGTTAATTTATCCCTTAACTGAAGTCTTTCGCTTACTTTTACATCAGACACTCCTATGACGATTCTGTCGCGTATTAACTCTTCTTTTAATGCCCCATAGTCGCAGTGCTCTGTCAATGCATGTAAGGTTATAAAATTTTCAACTGGTTTACTAACTAGGTCTTTGGAATTAGACTTGTATCGCTCAAAGATGACATTTCTCTGTTGTATAAAATGCTTGTCAAAATTGACCAATGTCTAAGCGTTTCATTACGTGTGGGGTTTTGCTGCAGCAAGATCGCCTCCGCCTCCGCCCATAAGATAAACAAGCATGTCGATTTTTTCTTTGTCGCATTTTTTGCCAAAACCACTTACTGACATATCGCTCGAATCGTTTTTTCCATTGATTTTTCCATTGAGGCCACTGTTGTGGCTGGAAAAAATTTAACTCGCGAATATCTCGGGCGGCGGCTCCGCTCTATTATCACTTTTTCCAGGAGGCGACATATTTCCCCTTTTTATAACACTCGTGTTCTTAGATTTCGCAAATTTTCAAGTAACTTAGTTGAAAATTTTTTGTGATTTTTTTATAATAATTTCTCAATAAATTCCACGGTAACCTATATATTTTATTGTAAAAAACAAAACCTAAATATTTCAAAAACCTCATTTTTAGTTTTTTTCTACTCCATCTAATCAATAAATAATAGTAAAATTAATTATAATTCGAAAATTGTTGTTGAAGTCTTACTTTCTCATAAGACACTGTACAAACACACACATTTAAAAATTTTTTTTTTCTCAAAAATTTGCACGGTAAGGTATAGTTAAAAGTTCACTATTAGATAAATAAGGACATCTACTATTAGAAAAAAATTAATTTTAGTCATAATCTAATATTTTTTATTTAACATTGGTGGCGAAAGGACCTCCTTAAACGGAAATCTATGGCTCTTAAATTACTTTGGCCTTATAAATAGCTTATATTTTGTTAAGATGATGTAAAACTTATAGTTATAACTTATTTTGGTTTTATAAATATTTTATATTCTGTTCAGACGATGTAACTTTAATATTTATGCATAAGTCCGTTAGATTTCCAACCTGGCATGTAGATGTACTTTAACTGTTTTTTTTTTCATTTGGTGTCATCGGCGTCGACTACTACGGCCCATTAGCCTCGTGTTATGTGTAGGTTTTGTTACTGTTTCCCAGCGCCACTTTAGGAACAGCACTGTTAATTAGAACCCAACAGTGAATGGTCGAGTGGGGAATTCTACCAAGGCATCAGAATTAATTTTAAATAATTAAATTAAATGAAAAAATCCCGGCCAACGTTGGGATTCGAACCTGAGACCTTTCGATGTCAAGAAGTCCCGAATTTCGTAGTTGCTCCTAGAAGCTCTAAGCTCCAATAAGTCCCGAGTTACGTAGTTTCTCCTAGAAGCTTTAAGTTTCAAGAAACTCCAAGCTTTAAACTCCAAGTTCGAGTTACGTAGTTTCTCCAAGTTCCGAGTTCCAAGTGTATATATAATTATTATAATTATTATAATTATTATAATTATTATAATTATTATAATTATTATAATTATTATAATTATTATAATTATTATAATTATTATAATTATTATAATTATTATAATTATTATAATTATTATAATTATTATAATTATTATAATTATTATAATTATTATAATTATTATAATTATTATAATTATTATAATTATTATAATTATTATAATTATTATAATTATTATAATTATTATAATTATTATAATTATTATAATTATTATAATTATTATAATTATTATAATTATTATAATTATTATAATTATTATAATTATTATAATTATTATAATTATTATAATTATTAAAATTATTATAATTATTATAATTATTATAATTATTATAATTATTATAATTATTATAATTATTATAATTATTATAATTATTATAATTATTATAATTATTATAATTATTATAATTATTATAATTATTATAATTATTATAATTATTATAATTATTATAATTATTATAATTATTATAATTATTATAATTATTATAATTATTATAATTATTATAATTATTATAATTATTATAATTATTATAATTATTATAATTATTATAATTATTATAATTATTATAATTATTAAAATTATTATAATTATTATAATTATTATAATTATTATAATTATTATAATTATTATAATTATTATAATTATTATAATTATTATAATTATTATAATTATTATAATTATTATAATTATTATAATTATTATAATTATTATAATTATTATAATTATTATAATTATTATAATTATTATAATTATTATAATTATTATAATTATTATAATTATTATAATTATTATAATTATTATAATTATTATAATTATTATAATTATTATAATTATTATAATTATTATAATTATTATAATTATTATAATTATTATAATTATTATAATTATTATAATTATTATAATTATTATAATTATTATAATTATTATAATTGTTATAATTATGGAATACTACTAGAAATTTTATTAAACATTACTACAATTTACAATTTGTTTGAATTTTTACTATTTATTGTGTAAAATTTTCGTATTAATTTTCATGAAACGCAATACACTTTTAATATAAATTTATACAATGAATAGAAAAAATTATAACAATTCGTAGAATAATTCTTATGATGCATATAAATATTTTTACTACATATTGTAGATAATAAATCTACAATACATTCTCTACAAATTTTTGTAAATTTTTTCTACAAATTGTCCCTGTTCCTATATGTTCTATTTATTGTAGGGAAAAAATGTATAACTGTAGAAATTTGTTCTACAATTTTTTTTCCGCGTATCATTCAAAATTGTTCGTATCTGGCGGATCGGCCATATTGAGTTGATAAAAGCCACGCTCAGTGATACCGTTTTAAATGTTTGAAAAAATGCTTATAGCGTCTCCCTACCTTCTAATTCCATGCCCTAAACATATTTTGTTAATATGGTTCATCGAAAAGTTGATGAGAAACAAGTATTAGAAATTAAAAATTTAAAAAAACCGACTTTAAAAACGTGCCAAATTTACATGTGACCACTCTTGAGGTACCCCCTTCCTAACAAAAAAAGAATCATATAAATCGGACAAGGTGGTAAAGCATTATCGCTAAACATACATAAAAAATGAAGAGTTTGAGGATTTTCTCATGAACCCAATTATTAGATTTTGACAAAATATATATGGGACCACCCCTGAAGTACCCCCTGTCTAACAAAAAAAGAATCATTGAAATCGGACACCGTGTTAAATAATTATCGCTGAACATACATAAAAAAAAATATCGGGACGAATTGAGAACCTCCTCCTTTTTTGAAGTCTGTTAAAAAATAGATATATTTTTTGGACCATATTTAAAAAATTGGCGACTTCGAAGGATGCCTTTGCCATATCACTAAAGATCAAGTTTTATGAGTGTCTACTGCATGTGAGGTAAAATGCTCGTGTTTTTATTCTAGATTATAGTCCCAGTTTATCGCCTCTCATTCAATCCAAATATTTTAACTCTTTAAGTATTAGAGTTCACAGCCCGTCGATCTTTCAAAGACCGCGGAAGAAAATAAAAAAAGCTTTCATTAATTGTAATAGAAACCTCATTGGGATTGGATTAGTCAATGGATATATTATTAAGACTATCAGAATTATTGAATAAAATTTAGCTTTTTTAATCTCGCCAATAATGTGCTATCATATATTTTCATACCACCTCCGAGTGGAGCTATAGGCGGTTAATACCCTAATTGTCGCTAGGACAATAATTGTAGACCACCTCGTAACGTACTATTCGTTGGCTAATTGATTTATTTAGTCAAAGCCTTCAAACCGTATGTTACACGTTCAATTTATAACTTTTTGAGTAAGTTTCCACCTGAAAATTCGTCCAGGTTAATTCAAAAGAAAATTTCAAATTCATAAACGATATTGAAGCGAAGAAGGCGACTGCAATTAGAGTTTTAGTCCTAGAACAGGAATCTACCAATTCTACCCATGGAACAATATCATTACGATTCCATTAACTTTGCTAACTACATCAAAGGCATAATTTACAGAGGTACCGCAAACTCTTCGGTATTAATTAGGAGTGGGATGTCGGAAAATCACATCTAAGAAACAATTCAATTATGGCCATAAACGAGAATTTCAGATCGGAGAAGGATTCCCATGAAATTGATTGGAATAGTGGATACTGGCATTTTGATGGCTCAGAACTGCTTGTTACGAATAATGAATAGGTATAAAATAAAAGTTACTTCGATCTTTGTAGTTAAGTGCAACATTCTTTGGATAATTTAAATTGTAAACTTTCCTACATTCGTAGAGAGTAGCGGATCTAGGATTGTAATGAGTAGGGATACACTTGTTTGTTTGATTGATTTGGTTTAAAAATAAAATGCAGATTGATCTGAAATGCCAGTTTGCTCACTATCATAACACCTGCAGATATGTACCTAATTGGTAATTATTGTATCAAATTTCATTTTGCCAACACAATGGTCTATATTTTAACGACGAATGTTTTTTTACAACCGAACGAAAATTAATCTAAAACTAATATAAATTATTCAAACTGCGGCCCAGGTGTACAGAAAAAATCATGGAGAACAAAAACATGTGATCATTATTGAGACAATTTCCCCTTTTGTGCTTATGCAATGATCAAGATAGCTATTCTTAAATG